CGCCCTGCGCGGGACCGGCGGGGCGAGTGGGTCCCTGCTCACGATCCCGCTCCGCCGCAGAAGTGTCTGCGCCTGGACCCGACCGCACCCGTGTGGGCCGCCAAGCAGCGCGTGCTCTGCGCCCTCAACCACAGCCTGCAGGACGCGCTCAACTACGGGCTCTTCCAGCCGCCCTCCAGGGGACGTGCCGGCAAGTTCCTGGATGAGGAACGGCTCCTGCAAGAGTACCCTCCCAACCTGGACACGCCCCTGCCCTACCTGGAGGTGTCGAGCGGGCCCGGGGCGGGGGTGGGGAGGCGGTCAGGGTGCGACCCCCAGCGCCGTGGCAGGAGTGGTGAAGGGCACAGCAGTGAGAAACACGCGGGGAATGAATTGGAATGGTAGCAGTGCGCTGTGAGCGGTGTGTGCAATGGGCAGTGGGCAGTGTGAGCAGCTTCGTGCGGGATAAGCAGTGTTGCAGTGTGGGCAGGGAGACTAGTGTGGACAGTGTATGTGGTGCGTGCAGCAAGCCGTGTGTGGAGTACACAGTGAGCAGTGTGCAGCACATGCAGTCAGCGCGCGCGTGGTGTGAGCAGTTTGAACAGCATGTGCAGTGGAGCATCCAGTATTGCTCCGCAGTGAGGAGTGTGAGAAGTGAGTGTCCCGGGGGCTGGGGGTGTGAACACCGTTATCTGTGTGCAGTTTGTTCCCTGCCCTCCACTGCGAGGTCTTCTGAAGTGGACCTGAGTGTACTCTGCTCAGTCATGACGTAAAGGTGCCTTTCCAGGAAGGGGGGTGGTACAGAGACTGAGTCATGATAGTGAAGTCTGGTAGTTTGGGAAAGGGGGAGGATGACAACCTCAATGGGCACTGAATTAAGAGGGTAGCTGAGGTCAAGGTTGACCTGACTTTCATGGTGACATAGGGAAGTCGGAGAGGGGTTAGAGAGGGGATATCTAGGAAGGTAAGGCTGGTAGCCGATGTTGGGAGAGGAGTGGGATTTCCCAGGGAATATTGGGGATGAGAATGAGGCAGGGTAGGAGCCTGCCACTTAAGATGGCTAGGTACTTGCCTTCCATGGTGCCACATGCCACGTTCAGTGTGCTGGGTACGTGACAGCTGTCAGCTGTGTGTCCACCATGATAGTGTGTGCCTGGGTCTTTCATGGCTGTTAAGTGGCAGGGCCCTTGACAGATGTGTATAGGAGGGCTCTGTGATGGTGAGCACTGTGTGTGTGTGTGTGTGTGTGTGTGTGTGTGAGTGCAGATGATGGTGGTCGCCACTTTCTTCACTGGGGTGGGTACCTTTTCTCCACCTTTTCTTTATCTGAGCAGTTTCGATACAAGCGGCGTGTTTATGCCCAGAACCTCATTGATGACAAGCAGTTTGCAAAGCTGCACACAAAGGTAAAGATATCATTATGGGAAGGGGACCCCATGGCCACTGTCCCCACCTCTAGCTGGGGGCTGACCCACTGATCCCCCCTCCCCTCCCCCCAAGGCCCATTCTGTTGTCAGAGGTCCAGATGTGGGTTTTGGAGCTACTGGAAGGCTGGGTACAGATTCCAGGACCATGGCCAGAGATGGCTAGTCCTGTATTGGCTCCAGTCAGATCAGACTCTTGTCACCCCCTGGCCTGGTGGGTGGAGTGTCCTGTGAGAGGCAAAGAAGACAAGCATCTGATGTGTTGATTGTTGGGGACAAGAGGCCCAGTGCTTATTACCACCTGGTGCTGAGAAGTGTTGTAATTAGGCATCTCAAGGATGCTCTCCCTAGAGGGACTCTCGTTACTCTATTTCATGTGAGCAGACTGCATGGCAGAGGGGTCAAGTCACCTACTTGTGACTGTGCAGCCAAAAGCTGGGCCCAGATCTGTCTGACTCTGCCCTGTTCCTGGCTCACGCATGAGGTGTCTGTATTGTTGGGTGTCACCTCCAGGGGGTCCTGATCTTATGAAACTTGGGGGCCTTGCACTACTTCCTCTGAATGTGCTGGGGGAAAGATGGGTGTCTTGGCCTCCCACATGGGCAGATTCCTTGACCCCTCACCCCAGCTCTGTGGCCTAGTGGGTGTTTGTTTGCTGGACACTTGCTAGATGGACCTGGAGCCGAGGTTAGGGTCCCTGTGCCTTATGACTCCACTCATGACCCCAGATTTTCAGGCTTCTGAACCAGGCATTTCTGCTGTCCAGGGCAGGTGGTGGTCAGTGGCTCTGGCTCTGTGGCTAGGCAGGCATCATGTAAGAAGATCCTACTTTCCTCCATTGCTCCTCTGTGATTCTGTCACTGAGGCCACTGCCCCATATTGGCTTTCTCCTGACTCCTTCCCAGTGACCGATAGAACACTAGTGTCTGTTCCTTAGTGAGTCTTGCTTGCTTTGGGAATGCACTTGAACTCCTCACCGCAGCCCTGTGTCCTGCTCTGGGGTTCCCCTGGCCTTGTACTCCCCTTCCAGCCCTGGGGCTGGCTGAGGTCTTTCCCCTGAGCCTTTGCACAGACCCTTCCCTTGGCTGGAGTAGCCTTCCTCCAGTTTTATCGTCCCAACCCATGGCAGTGTCCCTAGCTGCCCCCTCCTGCCCCTGCTGCATGCTGAGTGTTCAGAGGCCCTGGGCCTTTTGTGTGGTGTCCCTGCCATGTGGGCTCATGTTGAGCACACTGACTCAGGCCTGGGAAAATGAATAAAAGGTGGCCCCCAGGGTCAGCCAGGGGGTGAGCTGGCCAGCAAGGACTAGAGAAGAAGTCTTGGGAATGACGAGCATTTGGGTTGCCATAGGGCTAGCTCAGGGCTCTACTAGTCTGGAGCTAGGAGACAGAGCCAGGACAGTGACTGAGGTTGAGGATGTGAACTTGCTTGGGCATGGCTGTGGCAAGGCTGGCTGAGCTGATTGCTGTGGGAGGGTTTGGGTATCAGGACTCAGGGCAGGGCTTTGAGTGGCACCATGGGCTCAGCCAAGCTGGAATCGTAGCTGAGGCCTGGTGTAGGGCTGAGGGTGGACAAGCTGGGTGACAGGTCAGACTGCTGGGGGTGGTGCATCTGGTAGCCTGAGGCTTACTGGAGAAAATGTGGGGTTGGGGGTCAGATGGCTGTGGTCATCTGAGACAGTTGGTATTCCAGGCAAACCTGAAGAAATTCATGGACTATGTCCAGCTGCACAGCACAGACAAGGTGGCCCGTCTTCTGGACAAGGGGCTAGACCCCAATTTCCATGACCCTGATTCAGGAGGTAAGAAGCAGAGCAGGGAGGGACTGCCCTTTGAGTGGCTAGGACCCTAACTTTCATCTGTCCCTTGAACCCAGAGTGCCCTCTGAGCCTTGCGGCCCAGTTAGACAATGCCACGGACCTGCTGAAGGTGCTGAGGAATGGTGGTGCTCACCTGGACTTCCGCACTCGAGATGGGCTAACTGCCGTGCACTGTGCCACCCGGCAGCGGAATGCAGGGGCATTGACGGTCAGTTGAGGGCTATGGGTGGAGGAGCACATGGCCTGGTGGGGCTGGAGGAAGCCAGGCCTGGCATGAACACTGAGCTGCCTCACTCTCAGACCCTGTTGGACCTGGGTGCTTCACCTGACTACAAAGATAGCCGCGGCCTGACACCCCTGTACCACAGTGCCCTGGGTGGCGGGGATGCCCTCTGCTGTGAGCTGCTTCTCCATGACCATGCGCAGCTGGGGACCACGGATGAGAATGGCTGGCAGGAGATCCACCAGGTGGGTAGAGAGTGTGCTGCAGGGTCTGGCTGTGTGCAGATGGGGGCCCAGCCTCTGTCTGGCCTCTGCAGTACTTCCCTCCTCTCTAGGCCTGTCGCTTCGGGCACGTGCAACACCTGGAGCACCTGCTATTCTACGGAGCCAACATGGGTGCCCAGAATGCCTCGGGAAACACAGCACTGCATATCTGTGCTCTCTACAACCAGGTGTGACCATACATGGTGTTTTATATGTGTGCACTGCCTGTTGGAGTGCCTCAAAGCACGCCCGTGTGCACGAGTACACATACATGTGCCTGCTGGCACACAGGTGGCTCAGTGTCCCAGGCTGTGTGCCATTCCACCTGTGTCCTGTGTCCTGCAGTGAGTGGTGGTTACAGGATGGCCTTATGGGCCTTCCTGTACCGTCTGTCTCCTGAATATAGATGTATCCTGTGTGTGTCCATGTAGGCCCACGAGGCCATCTTGGTGTTCACTGGGCACATCCAGACCCTCTGGGCTGGTCGGACCTTCCCAGGCATACCTACCTGGGGTTGGGGGTCAGATGGCTGTGTGCAGAGAACATGTAGATGTGAGTGCCCTATCCTACACAGCTGTAGGTGCACCTCTGCGTGTGCCTCTGGCTGCACCTGGTCTGGTCTCTCCAGCCATGCAGCGTGACCCCTGCTGCCTCCTGACAGGAGAGTTGTGCTCGGGTCCTGCTCTTCCGAGGAGCCAACAAGGATGTTCGCAATTACAACAGCCAGACGGCCTTCCAGGTAGGTTGGTTCCTGGGAGTGAACTGGGGCAGCCTGCCTCTGTAGGCTTTGGTTTTTCCAAACTTTGGTTCTCTGGAAGGAAACAGGGGAGAGAGTCCACTTTCTGGATTGCTTTGGGAGGAGGTGAGCAGGATGGGCCAGTGGTGGGATGTGTGGGATGTCCAGGCAGAGAGGAAGGTTGGGGGGCTCGAGGCAGTGGGAGGGGCAGACAGGAAGACCGGAGAACAGGTGTGGATGCAGGGATCAGACCCCAAAGGGCACCACCTGGCTCCCGACTTCCCCAGTGAGGCCTCTGAGTTCTTAGTTGGGCCAGGCAGCCTGGGACATGTCGCAGGGGCTGATGGGCCATGGAGGTGGAGCACAGACCTCTGGTGAGACCTGTGGTGGTGGGGTCCAGGAGGATGGAGGCAGTGGTGCAGGGGTTTGGGCACATCTGGAAGTAGCTACGTCAGGGCCTCTCAGGTGACTGGTGACTGGCCCATCAGGGGTATAGTCAGGGCAGATGAGGGCTGCAGGTTGGCAGCTGGGGAGCTCTGGCCGACCCAGGAATGAGGGTTGTGTGGAGGGGAGTCTGTCCCCGTGTGCCTGGGACCATCTCCTGGCTGGGAAGTCTCTTGGTCCTGGGCGGACTGGGTGGGGGGTCACTGGTTTCGGGGTCTGTGTGTCGTACCCTGTAAGTGCTGTCTCCGGCTAGTTGTGTCCCAGTTGGACTGCAGGGTCGTCACTAGAGAAGAAGACTGTGCAGAGCAGCCTCGGGACTTCTGGGAGCAGCAGGGGGTCGGGTGCCCCAGACCTCCTCGCCACTCTGCGTGTCCTGACCTCCCCTTTCTCCCAGGTGGCCATCATTGCAGGGAACTTTGAGCTGGCAGAGGTCATCAAGACTCACAAAGACTCCGATGTTGGTGAGTTCTGCCCACCCGTGGGCCCTGTGTGGATCTGTGTGGGTATTAAAGGGCAGGAGTGGGTATTCAAGTGGCATGTCAAGGCCCCCGTCTGTCAGCCCAGGGCCAGGCCCAGAAAGGGCCGAGGTTGATAGACGGATGTTTCCGTCAGGATCGGGAGCGTGGTGAGCCAGGCTGGCACTGGGCTGAGGGTTGAACTTAGGGTCAGGGTCTGTGTTTTCTTCTTGGGTCCTAGGAAGGGCCACCTGGGGGCACAGGGCTGTGGATCCCATTGCAGCCTGGAAAGTGAATGCCTTGGGGAGACCCTAGCCTGCCTTTAGGGTGACAGAGATCTCCAGTGACGAGGTTGAAGACAGAGGTGGTCAGCACAGGCCCCCTCCAGTCAGGCTCTACGCACCTGGTGGCCCGTGTGTCGGGGATGATGTGCTTGTGAGTGACTCATGGTCCCTGGAGGAAGACCAGGATCTGCACATGCAGCCTGGCCCAGGCAGGTGGGAGGAAGGGCCAGAACATACTCTTGCACCTTGGGGAATGTGTGCCCGGCCGGCCATCTTGTGCAGGGGGGAGGGGGCTGGACTTGCAGGAGCCCTGGAGCCTCCCCCCAGGACAGTGCTGGCCACACCCTCTAGCTGCCTGGGTGGAGTGGGCTTCTATGTCTGTGGCTCTTTCTGGAACATGGGCCCAGGCTCCCCTTCTGCCCTGGATGTCTGTTGCTGTGGTTAGAATCTCACGATGGTAAGGTATGAATCTCAGTATAATCAGGGCTGGGGTCGGACTTTGGACAAGGGTTGAGATTAAGGTTGATTTTGTGTTTAGGGTCCCTTCCTCTGTGGAATTTCCCCTGAATCACTCCTCTCCACAAAGTCCCCGGAGCCCCAGCAGGGTGAGGGCAGACCCTCCGCTGTGTGGCAGCTGTGTGGAGCCCATAGTCCTGGGTCCAGGTTCTGGCTAGGAGAGAACTGTGGGGAAGTTTGGGATTTGAATTAGGGCCAGGACAGGCTGATGGGGCATGAGAGGTGGCCTCTGGCCTGTGTCACTTGGCGGCCCCCTCTTCTGCTGTGGCATCTGGTCTGGGAAGGCCGTGAAGGTCTGGTGCCTCACTTTCTCTTAAGTCAAGTGAGGTCTTTACCACTGTTCCAGTCCCTCTCCACTCTGGCCTCCTGCAGCTGAACTCTGGGAGGTAGGTGGCCTCTAGCTAGTTGGTTGGAGGGAGGGGGCTTGTTTGTGGTCCAGGTGGAGGGGTAAGAGGACCCTGCTGCCATCCTCCTAGGTCTCGGGGTCACCGTGGAGGCTTGATGTTCTTCAACCCAGGTGTGCTTGCTTGGTGGGGTGAGATCCACTGTCTCTGTGCTGCAGAGTCATTGTTCAGTTTTCGGTGGACACAACATCTCGATTTATTTTCTGTGGTGCTGAGGATCGGGCCCAGCGCCCCACACATGCCAGGCCAGCGCTCTACCACTTGAGCCACATCCCCAGCCCTGGCCACACACCCTTGACACACCATTGTCCCGTGTGCAGGTGGGGGCATTCATGAGGTTGATTCTGAGCCCCTATCTCAAGTCACTGTCAACAACCCCCTAAAGGATGATGATGGGGCCTTTTGTTTGTTTGTTTTTTAAACAAAGAAGGAGACTCAGGCCCTGCTCCCATCGGCACACAGCTGCTCAGGGACACTCCCTGAATTGCCCCCAGGATTCCCCTGTCCTTCCAGGCCACCCCCATCTCATGTCCCACTTAGAATTTTAAAAAAATGACCTCCCTGTTTTTGTCCAGCCACTTGTTTATGAGTGATGGACCAAACCTGGCAGTAAGTGCCACCGTTGCCCAGAGGAGAAGCTGGAGGGGATCTGCCCACCCATCTTGCTCCTTATTCCTCAGTGAAAGTATCACCTGGTGACTCCAGGGAACCATGTCATCCTCCAGAGGCAGGACACCTCCTGCCCCTGTGTGCCTCTGGCCCACAGGGTAGCCTTCTCTTTCCCTCTCAGGTATCCTCCTTGCACGTGTGTGTTTTGGGGGCCTTGTGGGCCATGGTGCACTTGATGAGTGCCCTGGAGCGGCACGTGCTGTATAGTGACCACACTGCACACCGTCCAGTGTAGGTTCTGACCCAGCTGGCCTCGGTGGCACTGAGGTTCTGCCCTGAGCCAGCTCTAGGTGCAGCAGTGTTGTGGGTCCTGCAGCCACACTGTGTGATGGGCACAGACCTGGCTTGAAAGACAATGCCCAGCAAGCATGTCCAGCCCGTAGCCCTCATCTTTTTTTTTTTTTTTAATGGAAGTGAAATATACATACTGTAAAATTTTGATTGAATAGTTCTGTGGCCTTTCTTGTATCCACAATGTTGTGCAACCAATTCTTTTGAACCTCAAAACATTTTTATCTTCCATAACTACCACAGATGTGCTAAGCAGTCATTCTGCAATGCCCTCTCCCCAGCCTGTTGGCATACACACACTTTCTGTCTCTGTGGATTTACCTTTTTTGCTCTTTCATGTAACCAGAATTGTGCAGGGTGACTCTGTGTTTGGCCTCTTTAACTCAACATGTGTTTGACCTTCCTCTATCTTATAGGGTGTTTCACTGCTTTGTTACTTTTTATGGCTGAATAATATTCCAGTGTTTTATGTGACATGTTGTTTATCCATTCATCCTTTGGTGGATATGTAGGTTGTTTCTACCTCCCTCTTGCCACTGCCCCTGGCTTGGTACTGGGGATGGAACCCAGGGGTGCTCTACCCCTGGGCTATATCCCCAGCCCTTTATTTTTATTTAATTTTAAATTTTTTGAATTTTTTTTGTGATCCTGGGGCTTGAACTCAGGGCTGCAAGCTCTCTGTCAGGAGTCACTTTCTTGATAATGTCTTTTGATGTCAAAATGTTAACTTTATGAGATCTAGTGTATCTCTTTATTTTTGACTTAGGGGTCTCCCTGAGTTGCCCAGGCTGGTCTTAAACTCTGGGTTCAACTGATCCTCCTGTCTCAGTCTCCCAAGTAGCCGGGACTACAGACACATACAACGGTACCTGGCTAGTTTTTCTTTTACCACTCATGCTTTTGATGTCATATTTAATAATCGACTGCCACATTTAAGGTCATTTAAGCACATTTCAGTTTTAAAGAGTTCATTGGCATGTTCTGCAGTCATGAATGGGGAGAATCACAGAAGCAAAATGGAGCAACTTGCTCAGCTGGACCTTGGTTGGTGGATTCTGATTGGACCTGTTTCTAGTTTCAGTTTACCGTTTACAGTGGGCTTTGGTGTGTTCGTGTAGGAATTTACAGTGCCAGAGCCACCCCCATCTAGTGGCTTCCCAGTGAGAACTTTAAAAAATGACCTCCCTGTGTCTGTTCAGCACTTGTTCATGAGATTGACCAAACCTGGCAGTAAGGGCCACCATTGGAGCTGGTGGTCGCTGTGGCAAAAGTCCTCTGTTGTTCCTCTCAGTTTCCTTGTTCTGAACACACTGTGAGACGGCCTGGCGTCCTGTCGATGCCTGCACACATTCAGGCCTTGACAGGAGGTAGTGTGCCGCAGACACTCCCGTGGTGGCTGTCAGAGGGTGACACCAGAGACCAGGTGCTCCCTGGCCAAGGACTCCCAATCAAGCTACATAGTTCTTCTTTGGAGCAAAAGAAAAGCAAAATCAATCAATTTATAGCAAGCCATAAATTCAGCTGAATCCAGAGGGAGTGAGCCAAGGGGTTTCCAGACTCGGACTCCAAGGAAGCGTGTTTCCTGGCCTGTGGTCAGAGCGTCTTGGTCCTGGCATTGGGCATCTTGCTGGGCTCCCAGTGGCCCACACGCAGGGGTGGGGCCACTCCGGGGTGGGAAGAACCCCGGAATCGCATCCAGGTATCCATCTGCAGCTTGTGGGGTTTCAGGAACAGGGCAGTTCTTGTTAGTGATGCCAAGTAGGAAAAGTGGGAGGAGAGTAGATTGGAGGAATCCAGAAGAATTCAAGATCCAGTCCACCCACAGGTAGATAACAAAATCTGAAAACCATGAGCTGGGGCTACAGCCTAATAACAGGTGCACTGTGGTTTTCCACCAAGGCGTGATTTTTTGTCTCTGTAGTTGTCCTCGTTTCTGCCAAGGTAATCAGAGTGCGATTGATTGAATGTGCAGTGATTCAGCCGTGTGAAATCTGGCCAGAGTTTATGTAAAGGCAGCACAGATGGTAGTTGACCACGTAGGCTCTTTACATTTGTTTAGTTGCTACTTTTCATAAGGAACCTTAGATTGGACTTTTAAAAACTTTGAAAGCTAGAAATCAAATTAAGGCAGATCAGACGTTACCTACAGTGCTTGTAGAGTTAGGAGAATTCTGTCTCCCCAGGTCTCCAAAACATCTTGAGGTTTGGGGACCTGCTACGAGGTACCAGTTTGTACTTATTGTGAGACTGGGAACCCCGGAAAGGCAGCATCCCTTACACATTCTCCAGGAGCAACATTCCAGTCAGGACCTTGATATTTCCAATTGTACCTTCCCCCAAAGAGAGGGGCTCTTGTTGAACCTGTGCAAATAACTGTTGCCACATAATTAAAATATACATAGTTAGCTTTCCAGATCCTGGAGGATCAGATAGGGAGAAAAATATTTTACTGTTACTCATGAAGATGTAATTTACTAAATTGCTACAAGCTATAAATAACTTAAAAGGAAAAAAATGTTTACTTAAATCTAGAAAATAAACCACTAACCAATAACATTTCAAATAAAGTCATAAAATCATTGTCTTCATCAGGTTTCAGTCCACATCATTAATTCTTGTTCTGCTTGATCTTGGTCAGCGGTTTATCCAAACTACTGTTTTTACTTTCTTTGTCTTAAGAGAGGGGGTCTTGCTAGGCATGGTGTAATCCCAGCAGCTCGGGAGGCTGTAATCTCTGCAGCTCAGGAGGCTGAGGCAGGAGGGTTGCAAGTTCAAAGCTGGTCTCAGCAAAAGCTAGGCGGTAAACAACTCAGAGAGACCCTGTCTCTAAATAAAATACAAA